GGGGGGGGGGGGGGGGGGAGAGAAAAATGTTGAAAGGGATCCGGGTTGAAAGGGAAACGGAGAGGGAAATCCCCCCCAAAATTCAGTAATTCATTTCGTCATGAGACTTTCATTGCCACAAAAAGTTTGGGAATTCCTGCCCTAGATATTTGCTTTGCCATGTTCCCACACAGGGAAGAAAAAAAAAAGTTGTTTGTTGTAATCTCAAAACAGTATTTTGCTACACAGTCCACACGCGTTTCCATGGTAACCACTCACATTCAATGAAAATTCACACAGTGTTTCTGTTCAACATGGGGTCCAAAAAGTTTCAAGGACTATGTGGTAGCAAGGGAAAATTAACCAAAAAGAACATGCTTATTTCAAAAGTTGTTTTGAGAAAATAAGGAAATCAAAATAAATTTAATAAGTGAAAAAAGAATGAATTGTGCTAAAAATTAAATTTGCATATTATCTTCCTCTAGGGAGCTACAAATATTGTGAATTATGCACCTTGAACAAGTGTATGTGCACAGAGAATCAAATACAGACATCTATAAACATTAGCAGGGGGGATGTTTCATTCAGATCTGTTGTATTGCAACCACAGACCATTTGGGGGGTAAAACTTGACTATCACCTCAAAAGAATTCTTGAAATATCAAATAGTTATAGTGGAATTAATATGAAACAATCAATTAGTATTAATACTAGGCGTTCCTATCTTGCCCACATCGTTAGTAATGTTTATTTAGATAACCTGCACAAAGCAAAATATTTAATTTTCTATGAATATTATGCTAAAATAGAAAAGATTGCTTTTAATGATTATTTTCACATTTACTCTAATGCTCATTAAAAGTAGCCAAATAAAGAAAGACATGGGGAAAAAATCATTTCATATGTACACATATGTATATTTATATATATATTTATATATATATAGGTATTGTATTTAATTCTAAAAAAGTTACAACAGCCTTATAATCTAACAAGCACACCATTTAGAATGTGTGCTTTACAAGCTGCAACTTCCAAGATCTCACCAGAACGTCAGATCTCAAATCCAATCAGACAACAAATATGAAAAGAAAGGTTACAAAATTTCTGCAAAATGTGAAATATTAACAATAGCAACTTATGTATAACATTCTTTTGGTGCACAAGCGCCCAGCACTATTCTTTTGTAGAAATTGGGCAGTAAAATTACAGATTTAGGAAATTTAGCCCACAAAAGATTAGAACATCTTATCCTTATCTTCTCACATAAACAATACATATAATTCATTTACAACTACACTACATATTTTCAGATTTCATAATTTTTTAATACAAACAAAATATCCACTCTTATATATGCTTTGAGAAAGAGGGCAAGTCCCATCTCTCCACATCAGTTAAAAGATGTTAGTCTATGTTACAAAGAAAATTTTAACATATGGCTTCTTTGGGCTTCTATTATTATGTTTATAATAATTTGAGAGTTTTCCACCCTTCCATTCCCTTTTCCATTTGACTGCAGAAGGAAGCCAGGAACTTATTTTTATACACAGTTTATATGCAACCATCAATAAATACAAGTTTTTCATTGAACATAAAATTACATATAGCCATATAACTGGGCACAAATAAAAACTGAGAACTAATTAACATGACTTTTAGAACATACATATCAAAGCACATTTACTTTTTCTAATAGGAAAAAAAAATTGGAACAGCTTCGAGTAGTGTTTTTTCGCAAATTTGACAATTCAATATCAGTTAAACCTACCTGTCATACAATTATATGTCTTTACTCCTGATATACCCAGAATTTCTAAGGCATATAATTTATTATGACCATTATAGATTGAATGACTGTCCAGAAAGTGTCGATTTCTGTTCAGAACATTTTTATTTAGCAGTAAAAAAATTATCACAAAAATTTTGAGCACTGCATTTTCATGCCTCACATACAGTATGCAAATTTCTTGATCTAAATTTAAACCAACTCTTTATGTAATTCAATAAATGAAAGCCCAGGTGCATGTTGTTATGCATGCTAAGGGATGTAAACAAGATTTGGAGACAAAATAACAGATCATTTAAAGAAATTGAATTTCGCATATGTTGAGATACTATCAAGTCTGTACTGAATACAAGTAGGCCTGCATGTTTTGAAGAAAAAATACATAAATATGATTCAGAAAATAAGAGACATGCATATTTTATTTTGTCTGCAAATTATTAAGTTATTTTTTGTCAAATATACTTCCAACAGAATTATTAATGTAAAAATTTTGTAATCATTTGTGAACAGTTGTGCAAGTATACAGCAGAATCCCTGCAATAATTAATACTTCCAAGAATGCGTTTTTCAATCCATATAATCAACACACTTTTGAATTGCACATTTTGCAATTGTTCTACATTTCAACACTTAATTATTTTTATTTATAATAATTGTCGCTTGCAGGTAGCAAAACTATAAAATATTACTTGCATTTACATATCCAGCACTCAATTTGGTATGTTGGTAGAAAACATGTTTGAACAAACAGATTATATATGAACTGAATACATAAAAAGATCTTCCTAGTTAAATATAAATGCAATTTGGAATGATAAGATGAATTGTTTAAATGAGAGATTTTCACACTTGCAAGGCACTTGCTGTGAAGGAATGGATGCTGCAAAAAAATGATACAATTTTAGCAAAATTGAACTGACCAGTTAGGTCAGTGCACTAAGGCACTTTACAATATATGCATATATGAATGTATATATATAAAATATATATTATCCACCACATATACCAATTCAGTACCATATCTGTACTAGAAATCAACAAATCACAGACATGAACTCCAACAATTCTAACAGTCATAAACTCAAGAATACCATTGATCTATAAACTGTAAGTAAAATGGTAACACCTATCTTCTGGTACTGTAACAGATCATTAAATACTGAACTGGTATAAGATAAAGAGTCCAATAAGGTGTTAAAGCTCTTGAGGAAGCACTATGAAATCAATTTAATTTTATCTCGCATCAAAATCTAGAAAATTGTTTTCTTAATTTCTGTAGGAATTATTTAATAAAACTCAGAGCCATAATATTCATTCATCAATTACCAAGAGTTAACAAATTTTCTGAAAGATTGTACAATTATTACAACACATTTCAGTACTGTGTTTACATAAACACATCACCCTACCTGCTTAGTCATTTGAACAGATTGTTTATGTAATAACAAGTACACAAATGCCAATCCTGAAATTCATTTAGGTGGGAAGAAGCAAACGTAGCATAATGTTAACATTGAAGTGTTATTAAATTGTGCAGCACTTGAGCTACACTTTAAAGTATGTTATATTAATGTCATCCCAGCAGTCTATATTTTGATTGCAAGAAATGGATCAGTGTTCAATTTATAACATTATGTAGGGACCTAATGAGTCACAGCTGTACACTGAATGGTCCTTGCGCAGCATTGAAAATCAATATGCTATAAAATATTAATCAATATTTACATTCCCTCCCTTCAATGTTTGAATTACTCTGGTAAACAAAAATTTCATTGATCACACATTCTGCACATATATATATATTTATATATATAATGAAGAATAGAGATTAGGAGGGAGAGACTGAAATTGCTTTTATCATTCCATTTCATACCAGTATTCTATTAAAAACATTTCTAACAGGCCAATGATTTTCACAATCCAAAGAGGAATCATTATTTAAAAAATAACATGAATGGTAACTTGGCTTCTGTAACTAATAACATGTGTATCTGTGATTTTTCCCCTTGAACACCTTTTATGGCACCAGAAACATCCACTTTCTACAAGATTCAGAAGAATTTTTTTAATAAAACAAAAATTAACAGAACAATTGATTGTGGACAAATTACAACTAAGTCAATTTGTGAAAATAACTTATTTATACATAAAATAATGTAATGCAGGTAGAGTAATGTGTGAAACTGATATTTAGTGGTGTACATTGTTAACAGCTGAAGGAAGAACAAAACAACTTTCAGAATTTTAGCTAAAAAAGAAAGAGGCACTTTGAAATATATAGCTCAAGGGGATATTACAATAGAAAATGGTGTCAGTTTGCAGATTCCACATAGTTAGCTGGCAGCATGCCAGTACGTCCTGTTCGCTGCACAAGACCTGTCATCCAGCCTTCATCTATAGCTGTACAGTTAATGATTAGATCGCCATCACGGAACGAGACTTCATCTTCATCTTGGGCATCATAGTCATAAAGTGCACGATACATCCGCTGCAACAAAATAAGTATTTCAACACTTGTTTTACTTATCACATATCCATAAAAGTGGTAAAAAGAGGGCTAATGATCACTTATGTAAATTACAGATTACAGGGGAGATCACTTATGTAAATTATCATAAAACTACAAGTTGTGATACAAGAACTACTTTCAACAAATACTATTACTTACGTCTCCAAATATATTTCAACAGGGAAAATAAATCTTTCCCAAACCAATGAACCTCTTTTTAACATTGTGTTACAATTACACATGAGGTATACAACAGCCTTATCTATTTTGCCCAATATTTTACTCAAATGACAAGAAAAAACAAATATACAATTATTTTTTTCCAAATCAAAAGACATTTATCAATGACAATGCTTGATTAGTGCCTCTTGTGGATTTTACAAGAAGCTACTGCACTACTGCTCCAAAGGATTTATTACAATTTACCACTACTTGCCTTATGGCTTTATTGTTACATAACTTGGCATTCTTGGTGGGTGGCTTAAGGTTATGGGCAACAAGTCATTTCCCACTCATGAATGTCACATTAAAATGTGTGTTCTTTTACTAGAGGCTTTGAGATACATAATATTGATCATGAATTAAAGAGACGTGTATTAATCGTACTACAAAAAGAACTATTCTTTACTACACTACCACCAAAGTATATCAGCAAACATTGATACTGGGCATTTGCATGTGCAGTTCTAAAAAGAGGGGGGGGGACTATTATACACACATGTTTTCTTGAGCTTTCACTTCGCTAGATTTGAGAGGAGTGGGGAGTTTGGTTATTTTGATGGAAGGAATTTTACGTCTAATTTGTAGTTTATTTTTCCAAGAAAAGAAGGAAAAAAAAAATACATGGGAGCAAACATACCTCGTCGCCAGATTTTGTCTACAACTCTCATTGCTATCATTTATTATTAATGCAACTAATGTTGGGAAAGGAGTGGGGGTAGATATTCCAGGGCTCAAGAAAACGTGCGGATATAATACATTTCTGAACCCCTTTTCCATTTAACTTCATTTACACATATTTTACATGCATAAAAATTTTCAGACTTTCCAGAATTCATATTTAGGCAGTTGTAGGTGGGCAATAGAATTCCCACTTGGCCATATTTTTTGGAGTGGTTTTTGTTCAGTTGTCAACACCTGCAGCTGTTGTGGGCAGATTGGGAAGTTTTTCATCCATTTTTAGGAGTTTCTATGTAGGAGTTGTGTTAGAAATAACCATCCTTAAGGGATAGAATTGAAAGTTTCTTCAGATTTTGTTCCGAATTCACCCATTTACACTCCAGGTACACAATGTATAATTTCCAAAATTTCGTAGTTTTTGGAAAATTTGAGAATGTAAAGTTCTAGAACAATACATACTTTCTAATGCTCAATTATTTTGCAATTTTATATGTAATTCTTATCAGGAACTAAACATTACACTTTTCCCCATACCACATCACACACAGTTTTTAAATGTTTTTAAAATAAATAAACGTTAAAGAAAATGAAATATTTTATTGCATAAGGTTATGAACCTTTTAAGGGGGCCTGGCTCCTGTCCACCCACCTGCTCTGCACACACCTATGATTCACAGGATATTAAAACAATTACGACTTGAGAAAAATGGTGCCAAGTCAAATTTCATAGGTTAATGTAATTGCAATGTGTATCAAGAAAAGAACTGTCTAAAATGGATTCAACAACCATCAATACAAATATTGATCCATAAATACATGATACTTTTGATGTACGATATTATAATATTCATAATAAAAATATTAATTTCCATTACTCTCTAGAAGGAGGAAGGGTATGCAATGGCCATGGCAATGCTGATGTACATAGTAAGATCATAACCACTGCACATGTACACGAACATGTACCTTTTTTTGCATTGAATTTATTCCATTATTTCCCTCTTAAAACAACAAATTCTCTCTGTATTGGGTTTTGCGTCTACTTCGCTATGCTACCCTGTTATCTTACCATACTAAATATTTTGATTAACTTTTCTTTCTTGCCTTACTACATACTTATGTAGTGAAGACAAAGTATTGTAAAGGGTGCAACAAAAATATTCAGTTTTTGTCAGAAATTACAGTATTGTGGAGCTCTACTATTGAAAAGGCGGATAAATCATGTTCCTTTATGTAATATATAAATTGCTTCCTCTTACACATATAGTCTGAATTCACGTTTTGTACATCCTTTATACCGAAAAATTGGTTGATAGCAAGACCTCTGCCTGTCTGTGTTCAATACTCTTTCATTTTTTCCAAAATTTATATTCCACCATCAATCTGGACGAACTCGAGTTTGAAACATTTTAGTGTTTAGTGTTTAGTGTTTAGTGTTTAGTGTTTAGTGTTTAGTGTTTAGTGTTTAGTGTTTAGTGTGGGTGTGGGTGTGGGTGTGGGTGTGGGTGTGGGTGTGGGTGTGGGTGTGTGGGGAGGGGAGGTACTTTAATGAAGTCTGCACAACATTTTCAAAATTTTCTCAAAAACTGCACCAAATTTGATTGAACGTTTTACTCGGCTTGCAGACAGGACACTTCAAATTGCGCAGGTCACATTTTTGTTGAAACCAACCTTTTCAAAAATTATAAAAATTCAAATTATTTTTGGAATGTTACTGTACCTACGATTGAGGATACAATTGTTTTACATTAATAGAATTATTTCTTTACAGACATGTTGAAATAAGGTCACGTACAATTTTCTGAAAATATGATTAGGTTTCATGAAATTTGCGTGATATTTATGCAATATTTAAACTATTATTTTCGCAAAAACTGTTGCAATTTCTTCTGTAAATCATCTCCTTGTGTATATCAAAGAATGGTAAATACAGTCTCAACGGTAATATAGTCTCGTTTCCGGTGGTTCCATTTCCGGCGAACTATTTTCGAAAATTGCAATACATTTACACTACAAATTTGAAGATATAGATTTATCTTAAATGAAATCTGTTCTAAAAACAAATCTTTAAAAAATGTCTTGTACAATTTTTTGAAGAAAAAGAACAAAAAACAATCTGTTTCTGTCTAATTTATGCTTGACGTTAATGCAAATTTTAAAAAAATTCTAGGAAGTAGCTCAAACTTTCTCTAATTGTTTTTCAATGATAGAACAAGGAACGCTTAAAAGAATAGTCTGATTTTCATTTTCTATTTCGTTGAACTCTCTGAATCTTAAAAAATTGTAAAAGATAGAAATAATGCGAGAAAGTCCGTTGTTGTAGCATCACTAGGGTTTTTGTTTCTTAAATACAGCGTTAGAATGATTGAGTTTGGCTGTGAGGCTGATTGTGGGTGAATGGCGAGCTGAGAGATCTGATCCCAGCGCAGGTATTGCTGGTTGGAGACGCCTTTGTAGATTCTTGTACAACTGTCAAACAGCCCCCGCCCGAAGTACTAGCCCGCCTAGAGTGGCCGGCGCTCCTGTAAACAGGAGCCACTTTTCCGACTACCCTCTCGTTTCCCTCCAAATCCAGGAAGGGATGTACACACACAAGCTGAAACTGGGAATGCACACGCAGAGCATACTAGAAGTATCGCAAAGAACAGTGGCTTCATATGATAATATTTTTGCCTGATGTTTTCTACCATCAACCAAGATTTAAATTGTTTATAGAGTTACTTTATTTCATGTTTATTTTCTTTTTTAAATTTGCCTTGTATTACCAATTTTGTTAAGGGACAGAAATCTGTTTGAATGGCGAATTGTTTGTTTTTCATTACTTAATTATTTTACTTGATGTATAGAAATTATGTAAAATAATAATTCTCGCTTACGGGTGGACAGCTTTTTTCAACAGACACGTTATTACATCTGTTAAACCTTATTACATACGTCTACTAAACTTCCTAACATTAATTAAAAAAGTTAATGCAATTGCATTATTATGTAAATACAATCACGAAACAAAGATCTTGAAATTTTTAATTTCAATTTTAATTGAGAATTTGAAGTATAACCGATATATTTCTTTTTAATGATTATTTATTTACTTTAGTAGAGGGAATGGCAATTTATACTGCTTGACTATGGCTGTGACAATTTCAAAAGACTGTAATGAGCTAGGTATCCGATGACATGCCGCCACTTGAGGCACTTTGTACAACCATTACATTTAAACCTAACGTTAGTTGCTCAGGACGCAGTGCCCGCGAAGGCTAGTTACCTTGCCCGCGACCTTGACATGCCTGATGTAAAGTGATAATATCGCATATCAGTTACAAAACATTGAGAGAAAACGTGTTCTGTAGAGGCACCACAAGTTTTATCACGTTCCTTGAACCGTCCCCAATGTTTACAAACAAATCTTCGTTTCAGGTTACCATGTAATCATTATGGAGCAGAGTTTCCTCAAGCCATGTCTTGGACACATCGGCACGTTCCTACCTCATACCGGAATGATTCATCCAAATCTAAACTCTACTGATGAGTAAACGCACAGTAAATCTCAGTCCGTGGAGAAACTCGCCTGTCTCAATACGACTTCTCGTAAGCATCAGGGCCGGCCGAAGAGGTGGGTAGCACTACCCACGCGAAAATATTCCAGGTAGGTAATTACCCACGTGATTGACAAACATTTGTTAAAAGTTCCAATTTAACACTTTTTTACCACCATCAAACTGATGGAAAAATATTTTGGAAATCTACAAAAAACATTATTTAATTATTAAACATTGCACACGATGAGCAATTGTGACTTCGCGCAAAAAGGTTATGGCGAGCTGGTTGTGCCCCATTGTATCCAAAAGAACCGATTTTGTACTGACTTGTAGTTCAAGGGTTCCGAGGTAAACGAGTGAATGACGTTCCGAGGTAAACGAGTGAATAACATAACTGAATAATATTTCAGTCAAGCGCGAAAGAGGAGCGCGATTACATCTGATGTAACCTCGGAAAATGCTAATGAAAACCCATAAAGTTTGAAAACGATGTAGAAGTAATCCCTTTGTTGCTGGCATGGGAAAAAAATTAAATGTTTA